AAAAAAAAAAAAAAATAAGTAATACCAAAAAACCAAACCAAACCCATTGCTGTTGAGTCGATTCCACTTCATAGCAACCCTATAAGACAGAGTAGAACTGCCCCATAGGGTTTCCAAGGAGCGGTTGGTGGATTCGAACTGCAGACCTTTTGGTTAGCAGCCAGGCTCTTAAACATTGTGCCTCCAGGGCTCCAATAAGTAATAAGGCACACTTAATTACTTACCTGTAAGCCACTTATGGGAGCCCTGGTGGTACAGTCTGAATCCACCAGCTGCTCCTTGGAAACCCTATGAGGCAGTTCTACTCTGTCCTATAGGGTCACTGTGAATCAGAATCAAATTGTTGGCAATGGATTTGGTTTCATTTTTTAAGCTACTTATGTGAATAGTTGTAATTTTAAATATTGCATAGATTCATCTTATGTCTGTATAATGAAAGTTTTGTGTTTTTTTCCCCTAGTTTGTTTACCTTTAACCACAGTGCCACCAGGGCTTCTAATTTAATGATTTTTTTTTTTAATCTGAAGAATTAAAAAAAGTTAATAAAAATGTATTAACTTGTCATGACTCAAAATAAAAGCTCGACTAATGGGGTGGTGGACAGAAAAGAAATGAGCCTACTGGTCTGTCTGCATTATCTCTTGGATTCTATATCCCATATCATCTTTTTTAAAGAGTATATGTACTACTTTTTAATAGTTCTCTTCTAAGAAGTTAATAAAATGTTCAAAACTTATTTTCCTCAACCACAATTTTTCTATCTACTGTGTCTGATACTTAGAATACTAAACACTGAGCCACCTGGAAATTGTTCTTTTTATTAGTTGCTGTCGAATTGGCTCCGACTCATGGTGACCTTATGTATGTCCTTGTTAGATGCTGTCGAGTTGGTTCCAACTTATAGCGACCCTATGTACAACAGAATGAAACGCTGCCCGTTCCTGCGCTGTTCTCATCGTTGCTATATTTGAGCCCATTGTTGCAGCCACTGTGTCAATCCATGTCATCGAGGGTCTTCCTCTTTTTCACTGACCCTCTACTTCACCACACATGATGTCCTTCTCCAGGGACTGGCCCCTCCTGATAACATGTCCAAAGTATGAGACGAAGTCTCGCCATCCTCGCTTACGTATAACAGAAGGAAATGTTGCCCAGTCCTGTGCCATCTTCATGATTGTTGGTATGTTTGAGTCCATTGTTGTGGCCATTGTGTCAGTCCATCTCATTTAGGGTTGGCCCTCTACTTTACCAAACATGATGTTGGCCCTCTGCCAAACATAATATTCTTTTCTAGTGATTGGTCTTTCCTGATGTTGTGTCCAAAGTTGGTGAGTTGATGTCTTGCTATCCTTGCTTCTAAGGAATGTTCTAGTTGTATTTCTTTTAAGACTGATTTGTATGTTCTTTTGGCAGTCCGTGGTATATTCAGTATTTTTCACTAACACCACAGTTCGAACACTGCAATTCTTTTCATTGTCTAACTTTCACAACCTGGGATTAGGTCTGTTATGTTTAAAAGAATAAGAAGTCCCAATGTGTTTTTAAAATAGAGACATAAATCTTATACTCTCCAGAAAAACACTAGATAAGTTGCTTAAAGTGTTTCTAAATCCTGGTGAACAGTTGCCTTCTTTGACAAATCTTAAATCACTTTTTTTTTGGACTTAATTTTATACTCAGAAGTAGTTGCAGAAATATTATGGAGAGTTCATGGTTACCTGTCACCTAGCTTCCCTTCATGATAACATCTTAACCATAGTACATTCATCAAAACCAAAAATTGACGTCGGTACACTATTAACTAACTTATAGACCTTATTTAGATTTCACCAGTTGTGGGGTAAAGAATTTAGCCTTACCCAGAGTAAGGTGGCCTTTGTCTTTGGTTCCTCAGAATTAACCCTTGGAATAATTGGGGTGTTTTGGTCTGGGGCTTCCTGGCCATACCTGAGGATTTGTGCTGGCAAATGGTGCTGGCCAGACCAGAAAGGACTTATCTGGGAAACTGATACCAGCTAGCCTCCAGAGACATGATTAGCCTATCATGCAGGACTGGCCGATAAAAGCCAGAAACACAAAGATTCAGAGTTTCCTGGTTGGCAAAGGGAGGGTGATGCACCCTCTTTGAGACATGGAAGCTCTGTGTTGAGGACCCTCCTAGCCCTCATCTGTGCATCCCTTCCTTATGATCATCTTGATTTGTATCTTTTTGCTGTAATCTGGAGTTGTAAGTACAGTACTTTCCATGAGTTCTGTCAGTCATTTCAGTGAATTATTGAAGCGAAAGAAGGGGGAGCCTGCAGGTGAAAGTGAGGATGTCGTGTGGGCTCCAAACTTATGACTGTCATCAGCCTATTTGGCAGTCTAAAAGATGGTGTCCTTTTAATTTGTGAGATCTGCCCTACTTCCAGAAGGTTAGGGTCAGAGAGTGTGCCACATGGTGACTGGTGTCAGAAATGATTGAGAAGTGGGATTGGATTCATGTTGATTCTTATCCATGAATTCATCCATGAGCCAGTCTTATTTCTTTTTAAAAACTTTAAATGAAAGAAGTTTATTAGGCAAGATAAATTGGTATTTTCAGTTTGAGTTGTGAAATTTGATAAAAATCACTTTACTCTTACCAGTCAACAGATTTCATGTTTGTGCCAAAATAATTTTGTGTTTCCTAGAGTCACGAGCTGTCTAGATTTAGTAATACCGTAGGGGCTTTTATCGGGGGGCGGGGGGGGGGAGTCAGATTTATTTGTATAATAAATGTTTTTTTCTCATCTCCAGGTAGATATTGGAAAAGGAGGGTAAGTTAGTATAATTAGTTTTTCTCCATATTCTGTGGAGTACCTTGGAGTGTTGTCATTAATTAGAAAATGTATTAATACTTGTCATCAAGACAGTGAAGTAAGAAACTCCATGCTCCCATCTCCCCTTGGAAACATCAAAAAACAGAAATTGTCAGAACTAACCTTATTGGAACTCTGGTGAACAGTTAGGGGTTCACAGCAACCAAGCAAAAGCTTTTCAAAACTGTAGGAAAGCTTTGTGGATTTTTGATAGTGGCTCATGCCCCACCCCTGCCTCAGCTTGGCAGGAAGCTTAAGGCTGCAGCCCACATTTCCAGTTTGGGACTCTGGTCCCTGATTCTGGAGGGAGCAGCGCACAGCTTATTCACAAATTATTGTGTTTGTTTGAACCTGTCAACTGACTACCAAAAAAACTAGAGCAAAGTGCCTGTCTGTTTCATCCATCTTGGAGGTCATTGAGGGCGGAGAAGTGGCAGGTATGGCCTGAGGCACTGTAGCGTGAACTGAGGAGCCTGTGACCACCTCAGGCAAAACAGTGATTGAAACATGCAGTGGAAAACTTAGGGGCAAGGTCAAAAAGTTGGATAGAGAGTTTCTTTGGGAAATCGGGGTATTGAAAGGCACCTGTGTATAATTTGGATAGCTACATGGATGCCCAGTGCAAGATGTATGCATAGAAGACCTGAAGGAAACCTAAGCTTTCACCTTGAGCTGATCTGTAGTCTCATTGTAAGTCTGGCTAAGTGTTGAAGGAGTGCCCCAGTACAGAGCCAATCTGAAAATATTGCAAGAATTTTTTTTTCCTATTGCTATTCTTTGTTATTATTTTGTTTTTCTTTTTAAAAATCTTTTTAACTCCTGGCATTCAGGGAGATCTCTGCCAGAACACTAGGTGAACATGACTGAAGGAACAGAAACTATAGTTAATATACACATCAGGGAGTCCAGTCTTCGTGAAAACAGTTTGGAAAAGTCACTAAACCAGACTATTTCACCCTTCAACAACAACAAAAAACCCTGGAAACCCCAAGGAAGGGAAAGAATCTGATTTCCAGAGCTATCACATTATGTTATTGGATATCTCATTTCAGCAAAAAATCACCAGGTGTACAGAGAAATAGGGAAGGATGGCCTATTAAAAGGAGGAAAATGAAACAAAAGCCATCCCTGAGAAAGCCCCACGATTGGACTTCATGCCATGATCTGTAAGCCACTGAGCTTCATGCCATGATCTATATATGATCTTATACATAGAAAATCCCA